ATAAAAATGCAGACACGTTGAGAAAACATCAGATTCGCAACCTACTACACACCTCAGGCATTGGCGTTGCAAAATAATATGATTCCTACGTTTTACAGTCCAAGCTGCTACGGTGACCAGTCAAAAACATCCCCAAGGTTTCCTTCTATGAGCAATGTCCCTATGCATGAACCTATCCAAGGCGACCACTTTTTGTCGGTCCCTTGAGTGGTCGTCTTAGACAGGTTTGGCTGGATTTGTCGATCATGATTGGAATTTCATACTTTTCACGTAACCTTTAGAATTCGTTCTTCCTTGGTTGCAAGTTGTTAGGAAGGAATACGCGAGGCGAACAGGCCAGGACCCCATCACCGCGATCCGCCCCAATTGGGGAGAACAGAGAGCCAACCGGGGGAAGCGGTCAAGTAGAGCGACGGCGGCGTTTTTTTGGTGGCTGTAAGTTGACCTTTTCCAGAACTTTCCACGTTCGCTTTAAATACCATTCACGAACTTTCCATTTCACCTTTATAATGAACGATGTGATTCGCTAATACATCCCTGTTGCTCTGCTCGTCCGATCCGGTCTTATCTCTGTCCTGTTGGGGGCCAGCGACTTCGGGTTTGATTGGAAATCAAGTGTCAATTCAGGCGAGGGACAAACACTTCACAAGTGCATGTGTTTGTTTCAAATCATCGAACGCCAGCGACAGCTATTGACAAATGGCCCGTGTTCATCACAGCCATACTGGTTCGTTGTTGTCTCGATTGGAAACCTGGTGTACACAAGCAACAAAGAATAATCTCACCGATTACCAATGCTCAGGATTCCCGGGTTGCATGCTCGCTATAAGTCTTTAGTGGCGTTAGCTTCTTCAAACCACATTACACATGTGTGAATTCAAGTGACCAAAATTAGAGGGCAACAAGCATGGGCCGCGCTACTAGCAAGTTTTCCACACAAAGAATGTAGTTGAAATGTAGTTTGCTTATTTATGAACCGCCGCTGATCTATCCATAGTGCCCGTGTTATCACGTTAGGGCGCGCAGTGACCAGGTATGCATCCCCGAGAACACATTCAACAACCTTGTCGCGTTTTATGCGAATTGTCAGTCGATTGGATAGGATTGTTGTCCTCCAATCCACATTACCGGTTCAAATCTGCGAGCGAAGTTGCAATGTCTCGAGCCGCGCGGTCGCGGGGCTGTGAAGCGTTGATACGATGTAATGCTGACACTTTTTCGACCGGTTTGCAACTTACTATTGGGTTCGTCCATATAGGGAATGCAAAGATGAAGCAATATTACTGGCAACAGCCGTCGATTATACTGTACATCATTTTTGTAACAGAAATGAGATAGGGTGTGAGGGTATGCGGGTGTTCTCCGAGCTGGCTGGTTTGGCTGCAAACGTTTCATCGTCAGACTAGGCGACATACACAACATAAAATCGGCAGGGAGGACGGTGTATGTTGTAGCGAAAATGAGTACAACGCATACACCTCTTGTGCAACCTGATCATATCTATCTACCAACCCTGCACATCAAGATTGGCTTGGGTGTTGTTAGCAGTACCAAGTGAGCTGATTACGAATATGCAAACCATATGTTTCTATCACGTCGGGTTTCCGTTTAATTTCAGTTTTTCATTTCAGCCAAACAGTGTTACATTCATCGAATGCTCGTCTGTGATTGGTTCACTGGCTCTCTGCAACCGTATAAAAGTGATCTTGGTCATGGTATCCACCTGATACTGAAAGTCGATTGAAAGCTGTGTTTCCTTACTTGATATTTGATCATGGCTCAAAGATGCTGCTGTGTTAATGACCGAAATCATTTTTGTGACCTCTGTGGACAGTTTACTACAAAATCGCAGTGCAGACCCATTGCTTCGCTACTGAATTCTGTTTACCACATGTATTTCGGGATGGAACTAGGAGATCAGCATGAGAAGTGGGCGGCACGTATTGTTTGTGTCGTGCAATCTTCATCTGTGGCTCAAGGCCAAATGCAAGATATCCTTTGCAATCCCCATAGTGTGGAGGGAGCCGAAGGATCACACGACATACTGCTAATTCTGCCTGACTAGTGTCATTGGATTTTGCAACCGAGACAAGGACAAAATTCATTACCCCGATCGTCCATCAGCTATTCGACCTGTTCCACACGATTGTACTTTACTCATTCCAGTGAACATGTCAGTGATGATGAATAGTGATTCTGCATCGTCAACTACACCTGATTCTGACATCTGTGTACTTTGAAGCTGATAATGTCAACCCACAACTTATTCAATACTCAGAGCTAAATGACTTGGTACGTGAGCTTGGCTTGGCTTGGCTAAGGATAAGGCCGAGTTGTTGGCATCTCGGCTGCAACAGTGGCAGTTAATTAAAGCAAACATTAAGGTTACTGTATACAGAAAGAAGTGTTAAGTTGTCCGCTTTCTATGACACGAGAGAAACAATCTGTTACTGTTCGGACATGAAAGGACTGACGAAGGAGCTGGGCGTAAGGTATATCAGCGATGAATGGCGTTTGTTCATTGACTCATCCAAAAGTAGTCTTAAGGCCATACTGCTCCACAATGGAAATGTGTACCCAACTGTGCCTCCGTTACATGCCACTAATGTGAATGAGACTTATGAAAGTATGCAAGATACTCGCTGCACTGAATTACGATAAATACTGTTGGAACATCTGTGCTGAGCTAAAGTTATTGGACTCCCAATGGGTATGTAATGAGGCTTCACAAACTATTGCTGTTCCGTGCGCTTATGGGACAGTAGAGCAATTCAACAGCAATACACAACAGAAAAGCGGCAGGGAGGACGGTGTATGTTGTAGCGAAAATGAGTACAACACATACACCTCTTGTGCAACCTGATCACATCTATCTACCACCCCTGCACATCAAGATTGGCTTGGCTAAAAAACTTCGTCAAAGCCCTCAAGCGATATAATTTTGCGTATCAGTACCTGAAACAAATGCTTCCGAAGATCAGTGATGCGAGGCTCAAAGAAGGGATATTTATTGAGTGTGATATTCTCCGGATAATGCTAGCTGACTTCATTTTAGTTAAAAGCGGGGAGATTATCAAAGGCAGAATTTTTGGTTAGAACAAAAGAGAATTACGAAGACTATCAGGCGGTTGGTGCTCGAATGTCACTCAAAATTCACTTTCTACATAATCACCTTGACTTTTTCCTGAGAACTTGGTTAGCGATGAACATGGTGAGCGTTTCAGCAATTTTGTGATGCACTACTAATAAGTAGTAGGGTGAAACGAGCAGGCGCGACGAACTCAGCGAATAAAGGATCACCGCGGACGACGGGCGCGTAGTGCACAGTTCAGTTAGCCCTGAAAAGGGATGGGCCTGGAGCGTTAAACCTATACCGTACTGTTACGGCAAGTTGAGTCGATAGCACAAAGCGCAGTATGGAATGGCACCACGAATGATGTGCGCAAATAGGTCCGACTGTTCTATGTCAGAATTGTTATACCATGTATATGCTCGTTCTCTGATACATCACTCCTTCGCATCGTACCGGTTGCAAGTACGCGCCTTCTAGATTGGCGAAGTGCTGGTTTCTGCAGTTTCAGGGCAATGGATCATACAATCGACGATCTCGGTGGCTGTCGTTTCCCAGTGCCAATCTGCAGTCAGTAATGTCTTAAACGCATTTCTACACACATGCATACTTTGTATTGTGATTCTGTATATTTACATATAATTCGTGCCAACTAGACTGGGTATTAATGAAAATGATCATTAGCTTATAAGTATAACCTGACTTATTAGGTAACATCGGGATCTCAAGCAGAATGCCCATTTGTTACGTCGTTCAGATAAACAAAACACGAAGCTTTAAGCGAACAACTGTTTTCGATTAATTCTTCTTCAGGCTCATACAATAATATACATTGAGGTATTGTATGAGCCTGAAGGAGAATTAATAGAAAACAATTGTTCGCTTAAAGCTTCGTATTTTGGTTATCTTTCTGAACATCAGGATCGTAGACCTCTACGATCAATGGAATGTATTCCATAAGGTAGAGAAGACATTGGCACTTCTGTTACAGAAACTAGTTTTTGTTGGTGTTATAGATGATGTCTTAGCGCCGGTCGATTAGATTCTTGCTTTCACACCTACTCGATCGGGTTGCGTTGAGACACACTAACTGACCTCTAGCTACCGTGTAGTACGATCATTGTAGCGGAGGACCCGACTTTAGAGCTCCTATGGTTGTGAGTAGCAGGCTACGGGCGCAGGTGCTTCAAAACCGACTACACTCACATTTGCAGTCCGCTGATTGGTGTGGCGGTTGTGGTAAGCGGTCGTCTACGGTACCGTAACCCTGGATTCATTCACATTATACATACGCAAGTTGTTAGAGGAAAAAATCATTGTGTTGCGTGGGCAATGATATCCATCCGTTACCGGTGGCTCAGCTGGCGTGCTTATGTTGCGTCTCTTATTTTTCTCTGTATTGCGGTATCATGGCTGAGTTGTTCCCCCATCTAACGTGTATCATGATGACGATGGTGTAGATACAACCCCTTCCCGGAAACATTGCTATCAAATTACCCGTACACTAGGCGCCGATGAATGCTCACTGTCTAGACAAGTCGGTAGATTTGCTCCTTAATGATTTTGACATGTAACCGGTCGCAGTTTTATAGAATGAAATGCTGTTTCTGAAGGTTAATGACCTGCCATTAACATTGAGGAAGAGTGGACGCCTCGAAAGAATAGAGCGCGTGGATTCCAGAAAATCGATACAACTGATGAGGCATCCGCCTTTATGTTAAAGCTGATACCATACTCCATAGTCAAAATTCCGAGAAAACTTGGTAGGCGTATAGCATTTATGAGACAATAAGATTCTATTCAGGATCTGTGAAGAAAACTAGACAATAAAATGCGTTGAGGCCATTTGATTAATAAAGTGCATTTTTATAGCATCAGGTGAAAATAGCAGTTGTATTGATGGGACTATTTTCACGCCAGAGCACCGGGATTACTTGAAATGCGATTTCAACTCCGCCAACTGCCGGAAGGCCGCTAAAGAAGCACGTTGGCGTGCAGACAGCATGTTAAAACCGAGCGCCTGAACCACAATATTATTCTGAAAAGATGGTGTATCAGACCCGGACGTGCTGAGTGCCGGTTCTCCGATGACCAGAATGGTATTGTGTTGATGGGTGTCCGAAGCCTCGCTCTTTCTATCATTCTGAAATAATCAGAGTTGTGAGCAGTATAGGGCAATGATCAGATGTGGAGTATTCAAAGCAAAGTGAGAGTAACATGATATACAAATCAGTCTGTGAAAACGGTGTCTTGCTCACCTCTCCCAGCCATTGTTGACGTGGTGGTCGATCAATAAATTTACATGGGATTCGAAGACGCTGGCATAGCGAAAGGAGATGTTTTGTCGCATCCGGATAGGTGCTGATTCGCGTGTCGTCATGGACAGTATGCTTCGCGTCGTTCTCATTGAGGAAAAACATTGCGAGCTGAGATAACAGGCGCATTTTACTGGTCATCAAAGTTCGCGTGAAAGAAGTGGCTGACTGATTCGATAGCCACGAACTGGAATGACAATGAGTCAAGGGGACATCGATAACCAAATTCGAATAACTACGGGACCGTCTGAGTGAGGATGAATCGCAGAGGCCCATAGCTTCCTCGGAATCTGAAAGCGACAGTAATAAGGCAACCGATTTGAGGACGCGCCCAGACATCAAAAATAGTATGTTGCACTGATAGTTGTACAAATGGCCGAGACATAAGAAGAGATTGGTTATGGGTGAGATGTGATGTGTCATTTTGTAGTATTGTGAATGTTCAACGCATGACACTTACGTATAGGCGGCAGTCGTTTAGATAATAGATCTGTTACCAGCGTTACGAAACAAACGGCTGATTGACAAGCAAAGGAAGGCAGATAAGAGACAGACTAAATCTCGTGCATATGCCATAAATAAGTAATGCTTATCAGGGACCTTGCAAAACAGTCTTGTTTCGAGAGCGATTACCGCCGATCAAGCCTTAATTCGAAGGGTAATGATCGAAAAAGTGGGATATGGCTTGAACCAACGAGTCCCGGTCTACTAGGCAGTGCCTCTAGCTCACGCCGCAAAGTCAGTGCTTTCTCCATCGTACGCTGTGTGTGACCACAGATAGGCGGGTAAAACTAACACCAGACTAGATTAGGGCTGCCCATTCAGTTTAATCAGTTGGTCAGACGAACTACGTTGAATGTCGTCGTCTAACTCTTTCAGAGTGTTCAATCGTCTTCCAATTAGTTGATTGTGACCAGATGCCTGACGATTTCTTAGATCATCAGAGCAGTGGTAAAGGGCACGAAGCACACTTTCACTGTAAGCCCCATTCGAACGTTCAGAACACGAAACCTATATTCTATTGTAAATGCTAAACTTATCTGTGCATTCGAAAAACTAAGCGCATCCACGCGCACCAGCATTTGGGGACGCAGTCGTTGACTATCCCGAGCCCGTAATTGCCGAAATCAGTGATAATGTATCTCGACTGCGCATGAAGCACTAAAACTATATTCGGCGTCTAGGTGAAGTCCGGCGCAGCAATTTCACCGTCGGTAAACAACAAATCTAGCAATCCCTCAATGGGCACCAAACGAATATCTGCATTACAGAGCTCCACAAGCAGGCTCTATAACGCGTTAAAAAAATAATGTAGAGGATTTAAGATAAGTGCATTTGTCCTTGGGTAACTACCAGATATCCTAACCTGACAAAATAATGATGGTTGTGTAGATGAGAAAAAATGCAACGAAGTTGCTGCTTTCGGAAATGCGGTATAAAGATTGCAAGAGCATGTGGAATTACCAGACCAGTGTCCAATCGTAGTGGTCGAGAACGCATGATCCAAACGGACGGGTGGCTGGATAAGCAACAAAAAAAGACGAAAACATCCGGTGAGAAAAATATTCGTGCAAGCAGTTGTTACACCACAATAAGGTCTTAAATAGAATGATCAGTTCTAGCAAAAATTTCAAACCACATTGTGTGGCCTACGTCTGAGTTTAATATTCTTGCTACTAAGCCTGCGAGCTGGTGAGATAGTCATCCAATACCCTTCCCTTCTCTTTTTTCTAAAAGGGCAAAGAGTTTCATTCGCACATGCCGTACTTGTAAGTGTAAGAGGGCGGATGTCAGCCTGCACTGCTAAGAGTAATCGTTCAGTAATATTCCGGAACAGCCCAAGTTGATTATGAGGAACTTCCAAAAGAAAGAAAAAGAATCAC